CCTTCGTTTGCGAATGGCGACGGTGGTGGTTTCCGTGTCTGATAACGTTTCCTCTTTCTTTTTTTTTTTTTTCTCCTCGGGGAAACTACTCGCACGGACGCTTATATATGTATGTACGAAGAACGGATGAGCACATGTGCGGATTAAAGTGCGCTAGACTACCGCAAATCGTCCATCGAAAATTCACATTCAAGGAGATTGAAGGGGCGAGGTAATGCAACGTAACGCAGATAGTCATTTTCATCATTTCCGGAATCAGTATTTTGCGGGAATTTTTCTCCGACGAAAATGTTCACCCCTTGCGAACACACAGCTACGTTCCATACATACAAGGTATGTATATTATTATTCACACGTATATTTTCCTAACTCCTTAAATTTATAATTTATGTAAGATTTAAAAAAACTTTATTTAAACTAGAATGCGCGATAAATCTTAGACAAAAAATATTTCTACGTTATTTGTAGAGAATATTAAGAAAGCTATTTTAAGGAAGATCACGCTCTCAGTTCTCAATTGTCGCATAATAAATTAATAAAACTAATTTTATATTACTTTCGTATTCCATAAATCGAAATAAACGCAGTTGTGGAAGTATGATTATTATATGAAATATTCTCGATGAAAAAACTTCGTGCGAAACGAGCAATTCGTGCCGAAACATGATTTCTTCCGGATCTTCATATTACTGTAGGAAGAAATGCTGCTTCTTCAAACAACAGCGGGATTTTATAGCAGCGACAACGCGCGAAAATAAATGTCCGCACGGTCGTTAACGCGAATGGAACGGATTGCCATCGTTATTGCGAGCGTTTCATCTCCATTAACGATGACACATTTCCGGCATCATGACGATGAAACGCTAAGCGCGAATATGTAGCCCTATGCGAACGCGAGCGAGGGGGCGAGTGAATGAGCAAACGACGAGAGAACGATAGAAAGAAAGTAGGTCTCTGCCAGAGACGTCCGCCATTGAGAGTGTTACAATTTTGCTGAAAAAGATTTACAATGACAATATACCGGTGCACACGTGCGGCCGAGAAAACGCGCCGGGAAATCATTTCGCTAAAGAAAATCCTCTCGAAGACGATGAAACGCTAAGCGCGAATATGTAGCCCTATGCGAACGCGAGCGAGGGGGCGAGTGAATGAGCAAACGACGAGAGAACGATAGAAAGAAAGTAGGTCTCTGCCAGAGACGTCCGCCATTGAGAGTGTTACATTTTTGCTGACGGGCAAGATACTAGAAAAAGATTTACAATGACAATATACAGGTGCACACGTGCGGCCGAGAAAACGCGCCGGGAAATCATTTCGCTAAAGAAAATCCTCTCGAATTTCGGATAAATTTTTTACAATGCGACATCTCGAATTACTCTTGTTATTGCAGACAAATGCGTCCGAGTTTTTGTTTTCTTTCTCACTTCTTTCAGAGACCATGAGAAACGCAGAAGCGAATAATATTTCGAGTGGTAAGCTTTTTAAAAAAGTCAAGAAGACACGTGCAAAAAAAAATGAGAACTGATTGCGAATGGTAGTGCGAAGACGATCATAAGTATAAAGAGAGTCTGAGTGGATTGAGCTTGAGAAGCGAAAGAGTTTCCTTTTCATGTAATGGCACTCTTCAATCACTTCTTACTCCTTGCAGACTTGCACTCGCTTTTACGCTATCGCTTCTTGCCCCATGCTATCATTGTAGTTTTTACGACGACGCTTTTTCTTACGTTGTATTACGAAAATGTCCACAGAGAATTTTTCTTTTCCGAAAAGGAATTTACATTGTTATCAACGTATTTACATGGTTGAAAAGCACAAGCATCCCTTTTAAATTATTATTCAAATATATATATATATACATTTTAGAAATATCTCTACACGTATCTTATCCCGCGAATACTTGAGATTCGTCTTATCCTCCAGAGGTAATTTCTAAACATGAAAGAATCATTTAAATCAAACCGCTGTGAGGATCTCAATCTAAAATTAAGGAGAGATAGATCTCAACCATATACAAAGCGTAAAATTCGCTTTAATCACAGCCATAGCAGCTTGAGTCGCCGATCCAGATTGATCGCGATTTCCGCGTGCAAATTGCCGCCTTCTTCTTAACGATACGTCGCTCATTGTCAGAGTTCTTTGTAATTCGCTCGTCCTACTCGATCGTACAGCGCGACAAGCACGAAGAAACTAACGAATATCAAATTGCCACGGTTAACAACAGCGCCGGTTTTCACCATACCTAACATCGTCCCTCGCAGACAGGGGAAAATTCAAGTTGGCTCAGCCCGGTAGTATATAATGCGAGAGATTTACATAGGTCGTACCACCTGGTAGATACATCGCTGCTCGTCGTTTACCCGACGAGCAGAGTGAGAGAGGAGAGAGATAGAGAGGAGGCGAATCGCGCGTGGTGGTTGCGATAGTGGTTGCGAGCCGCGAAAGACGAAGACAGAGATCGAAAGAGGCGGTGGTGGATAGCAGAGGAAAGGGGGGTAAAGGAAGGAGAGGGGACGGCAAAAAAGCCGCGCTAGGGGTGGCGGCGGTGGCGGGCGACGAGTGGGGTCGGAGCGAGCGGTGGCTGAAGGAGGGAATGACCCCGCGTACACCGGGGTCAACCGTTGCACTATGCTCTCCGTGTCTCATAGTCATGGACGAGCCTCGCGTTTACTCGCTCGCTTTGATATACGGGGACCAGGCACACCGTGTACGTACACGAACGACCTGGGAGGAACCACCTGAACCTACCCTACCAGAGTCGGATGTTGCCTCTGTCTCTTGCTGTCGCGCATACGCGCCGTACGTACGCGCACGAGTCGTCGACTTGCTGATGATATTTATGAATACACGCGGGATGAAGAGATGGCAAGACGGAGGCGGCGAACATTACTTCTTGTTATTGTCAGTCGATATATTTTTAGGTTGCCCCTTCTTTCCAACAGTCTTCTTTTCTAGACGACGTCGACTATTTCTCCATCAGATTTTGCTTATACGAAATATGTGAGAAAGAATAAAAATTCGAGAGTAAATATTTTCATCTAGATTCATGCGTGAACAATACGTGCGAAAACTTGCGGAATGTAATGTCAAAAAAGATACATATAGGTATCACAATGTCGTTTCGCATGTCGAGTTTTAGATCTGTCGGAAATATCTACCGAGTGAGAGAACATCTGAAAGATTATTTGCACGATATCATGATAAAGTATTAAATTGCATATCGATATTTCTTAAAATTAACAACACATTACTAACATTAATATTTATACAAGATGTAAAAAAAATTTTGTACCGATAACTATGTTAACGCTTTTAAAGATTAATATTAGAAGTCATTAATCAAAAATTATAAGTCATCAAGATATATGTCGGAATTATAATTTGGAATACGCTAGATGAGAATAATTCTAACGTTCAACTACTTTTTTACGTATAAAGAATGCGCGAGGAAAATACAGATAAAAATGTGCGAAATTTGCACATACATATCTCCCGACTGTTCTTTCGCGAGCGCTGGATTACGTCACATGTCAAGTCAGATCTCAGTATCGCGCACGCGGCTACTCACGGAACAGTGAGCATCCGCTTCCGAAATCGCTTTATGCGCGATCATATTTCTTGGCCAGCCGCATCCTATATTTTTCGTCTAGAACAGCAGATATCCGTGGCGGTGTATTAAGTCATAATGGATATAACCGTCCTGCATCCATCACAAAATCAAGTTACAGTTACGGGAATGTTCTATCGCAACATTTCAATATTGATTCCACGTACGTCCGCATTCAGCAACTGCATGTGTATACGTATACGTATACGTGTGTGTGTGTGTGTTCGCGAAACGCAAGACGCTGTATAAATCACGCTTCTAAGTCGATAATCGAGCGCGACGCGCACGAGACAATGAGAACGAGAGATATACGATAACGGTAAAAGTGCAGTCGATCGATTTGTGATATATCGCGTTGTCGCGCTGTTAGATTATAATCCAGCAACTCAGCAGCAGCTGCTGCTGCTGCGATGCATTGTAATTTCTTCACGATATGGCTAAAAATTAAACGCATCACTGTTGTCCGGTGATAGCGGGAAATGTAGATGAGAATTTTTTCGTGATACTTAATGCCCGTCACAGCGGCACGCCACCGCAGACCGCCTCTCCAATTAACGCAATTAGCGATTTCATTAGCGCTAATTACATCATGCATTTTTTTTTTTTTTTTTTTTCCTCGTGGCACGCAAATCCGGAAAAGGCCTGGAAATCCTCTTCGAACTTTTCTAACGGAAAGAAGTTTTTATCTCTTTGCCGAAAACCTCGTAAAGAAGTCGGAACGGTTTTGAGCCAGCCGCCGTTTTTTTTATACGAGATTTTAATAACCCTGTATTGCTCATTTTGCTCCGAAATGTGAGATTTTTTAATTTCACACGCTGTTACTTTTAATCGCAGTCTTGTCACTTATTTAATTTTTGTTTTTATTAATTAAATGTTACTCTTCCAATAGTTATTTAAAAATAAAGCGAACTAATTTTTAAAAGAGTAGAGTCCCAAGTCGAAATTGTTCTTCTATTTTTGATCTCAATTTTCAATTTAACATCTATTTTAATATTTTAAACCTTCAAACAGGAAACTATTTATTTGCCGTCTATTTGAGATAAAAATAGCACTTAATTCCTAAATAAATCCTATCGAAAAATTCTGTAAAAGTCACAAACGTGAGAAAATCGAGGAATTGAAAATAAAAGGAAAATTTCGACTCGGATTTGTACTAATAACTAATAAATCGAAAATTATAATAATAATTTCTGAAGGATCTAAATTTAGAAGGCTTAAAATGGGGAAAGGATTAAAATGATTTAATGAGGCTCAGGTTGCTTCGTTAAATTTTCAATTAGAAATAGATTCTGATAAATATTTCATTCGTTAACTCCGATAATTATATACATATTGCTTCATTAGGAGTTTGATAAACGATATGTTCAGAGAAAAACAATGCAAAAGAGACACTTACCCGTTACGCTGAGCAGCGACATGATCTGAGGATCCACGGTTAGTCGGCTCAATTTCTCGAGTTCTTTAATCGGCCGAACAGTGCACTAGACGTAAAGATCCGTACGAAAGTGATGCTGCTTCACGATGAAAAAACGCCGAATATACACTTTTTTTTTCCGTATACGATATACAGGCTATTACGCGCCGCATATATATGCCTAATACATTAATATAATCCTCTTCTTCTCTCTCCCTCTTTCTTTTTCTCTTGCGCTTTTTTTTTCTCTCTATCTCTCTGCTTTTGCTCACCGTGCGCTTCTATCACATACGATATATGAACGCGGGATACGTGTGTGCATACATACATATATGTATATATATGATATGCGCGTGTCAAGTGGTCGCGATGTTTGAGCTGGTTATACACGAATTGAAAGCTCGCGGTAAGCTCAACACAGCGATCCGTTTTTCCCCCTATATTTCTCTGTCTCTTTCTCTCTAATTACTTGATGTTGTACACAAAACAATTGTAAAATTTTGTTTACAGTCTGTCACAGGTTAACCGCTGCGATCACGACGAAATGTTCGTTCGTACCTTATCGCGCTTACACGGCTTATCTGGATCGACGGGCGACCTGGCTTCTCCTCTGTTCCTCTCCTATACCCCGGTCCACCCTCTTCCACCCACTCCTAGTGTGTACACTGGCCGATGACCGTACGTGACACGAGTTTCTACGCGCTCGTCTGTAACACTGTTTTCTCTGTATACCGGCACGATGACGATCGATCGCGCGGAGAGAGAGAAAGACTGTTGTACACGTTATATTACTACCGATTGACTCGCTATCGAGTCGTTACTGACTCGCGAAAGATCGATTCTCTCGGATTATCGTTTGCAGCTCGCCGTATTAATCATCATCGCATCTATACGTCATCGTGCGTATCGTCGATTCGGCGAGTAGTAGTAGCGAGGCACTTGGTCACGCGCAACAACGCAGTCCATTCTGGCGATTGAGAAGGTGATCGTCACTGTTCGCTGTCACTAATGCCTCGCTATTGTCCGCGTTCGCGTCGTTCTGCCTCGTTGGGATTCGTGCTATTACCAGATCGTCCCCGTCGTCGACGAGCAGCGCGATTACGTATTTGCAATAATAGCGATAGTAGTAATAATAGTAGTACGGCAGCGCCAACGCGATTACTGTGGAGACGCTGCTGATCCGGTCGGTGCTGTTGCTGCTGTCGTTCCCGTGTAACGCGCGACGGCCGCGATCCCGAGACAACATCGCCGAGACAGCGTCGCTACGCAGGGCCGTCGTCGTTGATCGCCGTTGTCCGTCAACGTTGTCGTAATATCGGCAGTGCGTGTCTCGCTTCAGGAGGAGCGTCCACCGTGCCGTCGTCGTCGTCGTCACCGTCGCCGCCGCCGTCACCGCGCTTCTCGTTATTATCATAGTAGCGAGGGCTGCAGGGGATGTGCCGTCGCGCGTCTCTCGTGCTTGTCAGGGAAACGTGCACCACCAACGACGCCAGGCACGTCGTCGCCGTCGCTCCGAGGCGCGACCGGTCACGCGCATTTCACCACGATACCGTGAAAGAACGCCAGGCCGGAAGACAGAAAGATAAAGAGAGCAAAATGACAGAAAGGAGCGGAAACGAAGAGGAATGGGAAAGAAAAACAGGGGAGACCGCGCTCGGACGAATTTGGTGCGAAGGATGGATAAAGAGAGAGAGAGAGAGAGACGGAGAGAAAAAGGGAAGGGAGAAGAAGGGGATGAAGGGGCGAAGATTGGAAGAAGCACGCGGCACCGCGTAAGAACTCTTCGAGATTATCACGTATCGAACACACAGTACTGTCGTGTACCGCTTCCTCTCTCCTTCTCTTTCTCTCTCTCTCTCTCTCTCTCTCTTTCTTTCTCTCGCTCCGGGCACCGCTCGCTCTTCACACCGCTTCCGCGTCGATCGCGGCCGCGTAACCAGCACGCTGCACTTCTTCGTTATAGAGGGGTAACGTGCGACATAACGTTACCGGAACCAGGAACCGTGTCTCACGCGCGTAATGGAAGCGCGTTGCCGCGGTCGCGTGCGATCCGCTGCTCGATCTGCTGCTGCCGCTGCCGCTGCCGCCGCGTTAAGCTGCTGAAACGTTGTTGCGAACGTACGCGGACTGCTCGACGTCGAGCACTGTGCGAGCGGAGACGCCTCCGACACGCCGCCGCCATCTTGCTACGTCAAGGGGATGATATAGCGCCGGCGCCGGTAGGGATGATAAAGCCGGCCAGACCCGAGCAAAGTCGGAGCCGCCCGACAATCGTTCCGGCGAGACCGCCGTGACAACCGTCTCTCCTCCTCCCCCCCCCTCACTTCGCGGCTGCGAGCCACTCATGCCGGTTCTCTGTGATCCTCCTTCGCCATCGGCGAGAGAGGAGCCGTCTTTCTCGACGATGCCTTCGCCCGTTCCGGGAGTGCAACGTCTTCGGAAATCGTTGCAGCTAGTGTAGGACGCGATGATTTGGGGATTCGAAGAGTTTTGGAATACCGTTCCTCTTCCTCTTTCGATTTGCACGGTTCTTTAACGAGAATTGCTTTCGCACAAATTCCGCGAGAATAAATATTCATCGAATATACAATTCAATTCGAATATTTTCTTGTAAAACACATTTACGTCGTATATTTTTCATAACGTGAAAAGGTTGCATATATTAAAGTTTGGTCGATTTCGAACCTTGCAAATTACGCTTTACACCTACGCAACTCTAAATAACGATGTTATTCAAATTCTTCGCCAGAATTTTCGAAACAAACGCAGGACGCAGTGAAAGCCGTTTTCACATGATTGCAATAAAAAAAGAAAAAGAAGAGATTAATCATTTGTAGATGCCTAATTCTGATAACAACCGCCTACACCGCCATTCGTGATTACTTTACGAGGCGATGGAAATCTCTCTCTCTCTCTCTCTCTCTCTCTCTCTCTCTCTCTCTCTCTCCCCCTCTTTTTCTCTCTCATTATTTCGAATAAATTCTATCCCGTCGCTATCATGAAGTAGCTATAAAAAGCTACTAAAATCGTAGCATGCCGCCGGCACGATTCAATTTATGCGCTCGAATGAACGAAAAGTTACATTCGATTCCGCATAGTATATAACACATGCAGAAAATAAAATTTTATTCTACGAATAACACGCAAAATATAAATAGTATACATATTTTGTAACGCCCAGACTTTCCAGGTATTACCAATTCAAGATATTTCGAACATTGGCATTACAGATGGAAAATTGGTTCTCATTAGGATGCATGTGCAAACTGTTTTCTCGTTAGCGTGATAAAGAGTCGTAAATGCGGGGTTGAACGAGCCGAGGAACACGCAACGATTGGTATTCAAAGTCTCTGTAAACGCCGCCGTGGAATAAGATTACATCACCGGCTAATCAGTATCAAAATAATAAGGAATTTTGCACGTTGTCAAATAAAGATATTTAATCATTAATTAATTTCACGATCTAGTCCCTTTTGCATCAGCGTAACAAATTCGCGAAACTTTTCTGGGGAAACTTTACGATATATGCCGACAACTCAACGCAGTAAATGCGCCGCGTTAGCAAGTAGTTATGTCGCTTTACGCCGAGACTTAGCAAGTAGTAAATCCCGTTCGCGCGAGACGCGCGAGCAGCGAGCCGCGTCGCTGACTCGAACTACTGAAAAACAGATCGTAACTCATGCGTTCTGTGATTTTCATACATGTCGCATTGTACAAAACATCGATGACGTCGAGCAAATCTTATCGAGTTTTGCGTGCGAAGCGATGACCGATGCAGTAATGACAGTTTGTCACAGATAAATAAAAATAAAGTACTAATAAAATAATATTTATATTAATAGGCGCGCGCGGAGTGCTAAATCGATATTCGCAAGTATTGTTGCTTCTTTTCCGCGATGCTGATTGGTTATCTCAACACTGCGCTGTGCATTACTTCATAAAAATTTGTCATGACTTAGGTGCGTATTTGACAGTTCAAATATTAAGTATGTGTGTATAATTTTAATTTAATAGATTTTGAAAAACGGGTAACTAAAGTTAATATGTAAATAATTTTATAAATATGTGTGTATATGTGTGTGTGGCGTCTAGATATACCCGTGGGAGAGTTATATTATATATTTAGTTTTATATATATTTCATTTTTGGAAACTTATGAAATATTTAATATAGAATATTTAATAAAAAAATATTTAACTTTCTGGCATATTTTATGATGTTTTATTATACAAGAGAAATTTTTTTTATTATATACCATGCATAAATTTAAATTTCCAAATATAAATTATAGGAAGAATATAAAGATTGGGGAAAATGAGAAGAAATAATCACAAATTATAAGTACCATATTCAGTCATTATTCAGATTAACAATCGCGAAATGCTACATCAGATAAATCTTAATTTCTTGAATACTCAGTCCAAAAATTCGGAAAAAATCGTACCTCAAATCATGCATTATGTCATCTCAGAATAACAAAAAGAAAAGAGCAATGGTGTGCATTTTTATTTTTTTTTATAAATAAAATAAACGCGTTTATTTCAAATAGATATAAGTTAAAAATTTTTTTGATCTCGTATATGAACTTTTCACATATATTCAATTATGTAAAGCATAAGAAAGAAATAGCCAATTCGTTGCCGAAATATTTTACGTACCATGATATATATATATATATCCCACGAATTATCAATAACCATAGACATAGTATATCTAGACCGAGTATTAAGGAGTGGGGATCGTCAAATATTAGACAGAGATAGCATGCTTTGTATCACCATTCTATCTTCATCTTTTCCATCCCTTCTATCTTTCTCTTTCCCAGTCAGACAAAGGCAGATCGGTGATCGTACAGCAGCTGTCTCTTTCTATTTTTTGACGCGTTCTGAATACGGGAGATGTAGAGACGCGCAGTCTATATATTATACGTCTATGTCAATAACGTGATATTTGGCCTTGGCGACGTAAACATTAGAGCGCTATCGTTTACGTGCCTTTCTCTACTCATTCACGCGACGACACTCGAGTAGAAAAGTCGTAGTGTGAGACCTTGTCAAATCCCTTTTCTAAACGCGATCGCAACAAGTATCAAGAAATAATTTAATATGATTAATATAATTAATAATTAATTATCTTTTACATACGTTAAATCATACTTATAATTATATCGCAACAATAAATTTCGAAGCGCGTATTTCGTGTATTTCGCGTAATTTACTCATTTAATTAAATAAGAAACGTAGTAACAGGAGTCCAAAATATAATAAATTATCGTTTTGTTGCTATTTATTTTTATAAGCAATAATTATTTCTTTAACAATATTTAAAGTTAAATATGTATTCTTGTCCGGTGCTTTATCGTTTGATTTTTCAATGATTTAAATATAATTTGGATTGAGAACGCGCAATTAAATATTCGGATCGCAGGATCAAGTAATTAACTTAACGAAAGCCTTCGTGATGCATCTATCGATTAATAAATAATTATTCTATAATTAAAAATACTTATATAATTTAATATTCCGCATATATATACGTTATAGTATGTGAAATATTTCAGTAATGTATTATCAATAACAAGGTGTTCGGCCTTGGCGGCGTATAGCGTTCTATTGTTTACGTTTCACAGCTTTGTTATCATTGACACTTGAATAGTACTGTAATAGTGGGAGATGCTCCGTCACAAATTCCTTTCCTACGATACTTATTATCATTCACGCGACGACACTCGAACAGAAAAATAGTGATGCGAGACGCTCCGTTAAATTCCTTTTTCAAACGCGATCGCGCCAACTATCGGGGAATAATTTGATATGATTAATATGATTAATAATTATCTTTTACATGCGTTAATCATATCGCGACGAATTTTTAAGCGCGTATTTCGCGTAATTTATTTATTTAATTTTAATTAAATTTTATTTCATTTATTCAAATAAAAAACGTAGTGACAGAAGAAATAATAAATTATCGTTTTGTTGCTATTTCTCTTTATGAAC